TTTGGACTCAAAAAAGAAAAAGAAAATAAAAGTCATGAAGTGTAACTTTAAATATTTAAACAACAAAATGAAAACGACAAGACAAAGAACTGCAAAGTACAAATATTCTACAAATGTGATACAAATATACTACAACTGTGTTTTATTTGTTTAGATTAAAGATGAGTTTTTACTTCAAGAGCTGCTTTTATTTTTTTTTTAATTGCTGTAAACTGTGCGTTTCAATATGAGAATCAGGAAGTGTGTGCTTGCATGCTAGTTGCTTTTAAGTAGTAGTTTTACCGTGTTAATCATCAAAATGGTGAAAATGTCAAAATGTGTCGCAGAAACAAGTTTCCTTCCTCTGAACAAGCAACAAAACTGTAGCGCTGTAACAAAATAAGTTACCGTATTTTTCAGACTATAAGGCGCACTTATCCTTTAATTTTCTCCAAAAAAAAAACAGTGCTGAGGGGTCAAAAAACAAAGAAAAGAAATTAAGTTCTACATCTTTTTTTTAATTGGCCACACCATGAGTAGATCCGACAGCATGTCCCCATGACAGACCACAGGCAACCAACACGGTGACAAAAAATAACCATTATATTGCCTGGGTCTAAAGCACTAAACCCCAGACAGGTACATTTGAACATATACAAATTACTAAATATATTATTGCACTATTTACAACTATTTACATATCATGAGCTAATACTGAACTTTGTTACATTAGAATTATTATAATTCTAGTTGTGCTGGTTTTTGACCTTGAACCAATTTTATGTGGTACACGGAGCTCAAAAATCCATCAAAATGTTTTAGTACAACTTGGTGGATTGTCGGAGGATTATGGTGACTGTAGTCAGGAGCCTCGCAGAGTAAAGCCCAATTTACAGTCCTTAGTCCAACAGAAGCTGAACCACATCAGGCACAAGGAGCAAGCGGGTTTTTTCAGCGCTTAGTTTATGCAAATGAGCCATGTGGATTTAAGTTTTGCTTCTGTAAAACGTAAACAAATGTGCGCAAATCTGCATTAAACACATTATTACTCAGTGTATGTTTGAGTCGTCCTCGTAGGAAATAGAAAAACAAACTTAAATTAAATTACCCACCAACGTTCACGTTCATAATACAAATTCACCAAGACGGGGAGGTGACGCCGGGCAAATTGCGCCACGATCTGCCGATGGATCGTGGACGCCCGGGCGAAGGATCAGTCTCAAGTGTCGTCTGTTGTTTCGCTTAAAGGTTGTATAGAGGATTTTCCAAGGAACGAGAAATCCAGCGACTGTTTGTCCTTTTTCAAATGTTGCGCATGTGTGAAACCACCCCCCTCCCCTACAGCTCCTACGTAGAAACACCTCCTCCCTCCTCCTCCTTACGCCAGAAACAGGTTTGTTTACAGCCGGTGCACATGACTTGTAAACAACTAACTACAGTGTTGGTTAGGCAAGACGGAGAAGTGAGGAGCGGGGGGAGCGGGTGTGCGGACATTTCGTTCGCGGACGAGAAGTGAGGAGCAGGGAGAAAGTGAGGAGGTTGCGGACGAGAAGAGCAGGAGAAGAGCGGAGATTCCGTGCCCGAGAAGTGAGGAGCAGGGGGAAGAGGGATCGGGCAGTGGGGACAGGAGCAGGAAAGGGGTGCAGAGAAGAGTGCGCGGAGATTCAGTGGGAATGAACTAGCTACAAACACGCAGCAGCAAGCGGACTCTTTCTTTGCATTGAAAAATTATGTTTTCAGACATAGGATATCGCTTTCATGTCCTGAAAAACGTTTGTGTAGCTCTTGGAAATAAAGTACGTTTTCATAATAAGCAGAAGTTTCCTGTCCAGGAGTAATTTGTGGACCAGTGCGTCAGTCTTTAGACCCTGCGTCTGCTTCAGTCGCGCCATCGCTGGAATGAATCTATAAGAATCACCTTAGTTTTTTGGCTTCGCTGCTTTTCCCCTTGTCTTCTTCTTTTCAGCGACCTCAAAAACGGACTTTCTTTTGCGGCGAACTGCTCCTGGATTCTTGTCGCCATTGCAACAAACAAAGGAAGATATAGGTCAAAAAAAGCCGCTAAGAACTGTTGCGTTGGTGGAGTAAACAGCGTCTGTGCGTCTTGCGTCTGTGGACTGCGTGACAGTCGTACGTAAACCACGTACCGGCGGCGCAGGCAAGTCAGTTACACTAGAAACGTAGGGAGATTGATTGACAGCCTGTCAGCTCACAGATAACGAGGCAGTGTCGTTATCTATTGGCAAATGTTTAGCCCCACCACGTCCAGAGTTGATGAATTTTTATTCTCTTTTTTTTGGTCATCATAATTACAAGGCGACTGCACCTTTATAATCTATCATTGACAACTTGAAACAAAAAAAAAAAAAAAAAATCCTCCATACAACCTTTAATGCAGGAGATCTTAACCTTTAACCTTTGACATCTTGGTGCCCGACTATTTCTGAACAAAATAACCCGGGGCCCTATGTTATATTAAATGCATTATATTGTACTGATTGTCGGGCCCCGAGGAGGTGGTCCCGGTTGTGGTTAAGAATCACTGGTTTAAATTGTACCAAACTTTTAGACAGAACTTTTACACAGAACGTCGTCTCTAAAATAAAACTTCCTGTAATTTTCAAAACACTTTTCAACATTTACGCACGAATCGTTTCTTGATTGGTGTGAAACTCCTAATTTATATTTACAAGAGTTATTATGCCACCAGATTACGTAAACATTTGAGAATAATCAGAACCGAACGCCGTCATTCGCTCTTTAAATCTGCTCCCGTATTTACAAAATTAGTTAAAAATAGAAACTTAATCAATAGTTTGGCTCATAAATGGATCTTATTGTGTTCGTGTTTGTTTCAGAACGGAGCCGATGACGTGAAGAGGCATCGCTGGTTTAAAACGGTCGACTGGGAGGCCGTTCCTCTCAGAAAACTCAAGGTATTTCAGTCATTATTATTATTTCATTTGCCGTGATTATCCGATATTTTGCTTTTAGTTCAGCGCTGACATCACAGACTAAGAACAATAGTTATTCTAAGTGATTATTTTGTCCAGATGTCCCGGGTTTTTTGAGCCCGTGTCCTCAGTCCCGGTGATTTGTCTTGTCTTTGTTTTACTCAAGAAATGTCTGATCCCCGCCAACAGTAAAAAGGAAAATAAACTGTAATTTGTTCAGCCAAAATAAAGAAAAACAGGCTTGAAAATTCCCAGAACACAAAGAAATCTCTCAGATTATAAACCGGCTGACAGACGAGACGTGAATAAATCCCAGTTTTTTTTTTTAAATTCACTATTTTATTTTTACCAAACATAAACTTTTTGAGAATGTGGTCACTTTATAAGAGATTCGTACCTTTTTTTTTTGTTTTTTTTTTTGTCAAAATTAACACTGATTTATAAACTATTTCTCCTCTCGACTTTCTCTTTCTCTTCTCTCTCTATGCCCCTCTTTCTCTCCTCTCTTTTTCTTCTCTCTCTTCATCTCTCTCCTCTCTTTCTCTCTCGTTCTTACTTTCCTTTCTCTCTTTTCTCCTCTCTCCACTCCCTCCTTCTCTTCTCTCTTATGGCTTTCTCTCTCTCCTCTCCCCCTCTCTTGCTCCTGTCTCTCTCCTCTGTCTCTCTCTCTTTCTCTTGTGTTTCTCTTCCCCTCTCTCCTCTCTCTCTCTCTTTCCTCTTTCTCTTCGCTCTCTCTCACACCTGTTTTTCTTTCTTTATTTATCTCTTTCTCTCTCTCCCTTTCTCTTCTCTCTCTTCTCATTTTCTCTCTCTGCTTTCTTTCTCTCTCCTCTCTCTGTCGCTCGCTCCTTTCTTTCTTTCTTTTTCTCTTCTCTCTCTCCTCTCTCCCTCTTTTTCTCTCGCTTTCTCTCACCTTTCTTTCTTTCTCTCTCTCTTTCTCTTCTCCCTCCTCTCTCCTTTCTTTCTCTCTGTCTTCTCTCTCACTATCTCTCTCAATCTCCCCTCTCTTCCCTCCTCTTTCTCTCTTTCTCCTCTCTTTCTCTTCTCTCCTCTCTCACCCTCTCCCCTCTCTCTCTTTCTCTGTTTTCTCTTCTTTCTTTCTCTTTTACTTTCTCTTCTCTCTCTCGCTTTCTTTCTCTCTCCTCTCCCTGTCTCTCTCCCCTCTGTCTCGTTCTCTCTCCTCTTTCTTTCTCTCTTTCTCTTCTTTCTTTCCCCTCAACCCTCTCTCTTCTCTCTCTTTCTCTTCTCTCTCTTTTTGTCTTTTTCTCTCTCTCGCTCTCTCTCCTGTTTCTCTTGCTTTTTCTCTCTCTCCTCTCCCTGTCTCTCTTCCCTCTCTCTCGTTCTCTCTCCTCTTTCTTTCTCTTCTTTCTTTCCCCTCTCCCCTCTCTTTTCTCTCCTCTTTCTTTCTCACTCTCCCTTTCTCTTCTCTCTCTTCTCGTTTTTTTTTTTTCTTTTCTCTCTCTTCTCTGTCTCTCCTGTTTCTCTTGCTTTCTCTCTCTCTCCTCTTTCTTTCTCTTCTCTTTCTTCTCTCTCCTCAATCTCTCTTCCCTCTCTTCTCTCTCTCGCTTTCTCTCTCTCTCCTCTCCCTGTCTCTCTCCCCTCTCTCTCGTTCTCTCTCCTCTTTCTTTCTCTTCTTTCTTTCCCCTCTCTCTTTTCTCTCCTCTTTCTTTCTCTCTCTCCCTTCCTCTTCTCTCTCTTCTCGTTTTTTTCTTTTCTCTCTCTCTTCTCTCTCTCTCTCCTGTTTCTCTTGCTTTCTCTCTCTCTCCTCTTGCTGTCTCTCTCCCCTCTCTCTCGTTCTCTCTCCTCTTTCTTTCTCTCTTTCTTTCTTCCCTCTCTCTCTTTTCTCTCCTCTTTCTTTCTCTCTCTCCCTTCCTCTTCTCTCTCTTCTTGTTTTTTTTTTCTCTCTCTTCTCTCTCTCTCTCCTGTTTCTCTTGCTTTCTCTCTCTCTCCTCTCCCTGTCTCTCTCCCCTCTCTCGTTCTCTCTCCTCTTTCTTTCTCTTCTTTCTTTCCCCTCTCCCCTCTCTCATTCTCTCCTCTTTCTCTCTCTCTCTCCCTTTCTCTTCTCCCTCTTCTCGTTTTTTTCTTTTTCTCTCTCTCCTCTTCCTGTCTCTCTCCCCTCTCTCTCGTTCTCTCTCCTCTTTCTTTCTCTCTCTCCCTTTCTCTTCTCTCTCTTCTCGTTTTTTTCTTTTTCTCTCTCTCCTCTCCCTGTCTCTCTCCCCTCTCTCTCGTTCTCTCTCCTCTTTCTTTCTCTTCTTTCTTTCCCCTCTCCCCTCTCTCATTCTCTCCTCTTTCTCTCTCTCTCTCTCCCTTTCTCTTCTCCCTCTTCTCGTTTTTTCTTTTTCTCTCTCTCCTCTTCCTGTCTCTCTCCCCTCTCTCTCGTTCTCTCTCTTTCTCTTTCTTTCTCACGCTCCTCTCTCCCTCCTTTCTCTTCTCTCTCTTGCTCTCTCTCCTCTTTCCTTCTTTCTTTCTCTCTCATTGTTTCTACTCTCTCTCCCCCCCATATCTCTTTTCTCTCTTTTCTTTTTCTTCCCTCTCTCCTCAGCCTCCCATCGTCCCCAAAGTCTCTCACGACGGCGACACTTCGAACTTCGACGTTTACCCCGAGGACGAGTGGAAGAAAGACGCGCCCGTCCCTCAGAAGGACCTGGACCTGTTCAAAAACTTCTAACTTTATTTAAAACCAAACTTTTTTTTCATCTCCAAACCCGCCGACCGTCCTCCGAAACGTCCGGGCGCCGCTCGCTCCGCGGACACGTTTTCAACACCAAATATACAAATCGCTTTTTATAACTTTATTTATAAAAAAAAAAAAAGGACATTTGTTGTGATTATGTTTTGGTGATATGCAAATGTGCAAATGACTGTTATGTTATCAAACAATCAGGTTTTTTTTAATGTTTTTTATCGTTTAACTTGGACTGTTTTTAAAATCTGAATTGAATCTCGATGTCAGCCAACGTACGGACTTGAATTTGTAAAAAAAAAAAAAAAAAATCCTCGTAGCACGTGTTTACAGTGCCTTAAAACGCTAACAACGCTAATGGGCGCTAATGCTAACAACGCTAATGCTAAATGCTAATGCTAAAAACAACAGCATCTGTTGTTTAGCCGCAGAGGTGGGTAGAGTCGCCAAAAATTGTAATTAAATACAAGAACTGTTACTTCAAAATGGTGTTACTGAAGTAGAAGTAATGCGAGAAAATACTGTTACACTGTACTACGTAAAACTACTCTGAAAGGTACAAGTTTATTTAAAAATCGTAGTACCCGCCTCACGTTTTGGATGCTAAATGTTGACGCTAGAATCTTCTGTTTGTCGTTTAAAATCTTGCACAGTATTCACGATCGAGTCTTCTCCTCAGTACGACGCTGTAGCCTTCAGATGTCTCATATTTGTGCATTTGCATTAAAATATTGTGTTTAAAAAAAGAAATTTGGTGTCGTGAATGAGTCCTGGGTTAGACCTGGATTAGTCCTGGTTTAGTCCTGTGGTTTAGTCTTGGTTTAGTCCTGGTATAGACCTGGTTTAGATCTGATTTGGACCTGGTTTAGCCTTGGTTTAGACCTGTTTTAGACCTAGTTTAGTTCTAATTTAGACCTAGTTTAGTTCTGATTTAGTCCTGGTTTAAACCTGGTTTAGATCGGGTTTAGTCTTGGTTTAAAGTGACCTAGTTTAGTCCTGTTTAGCCCTGGTTTAAACCTGGATTAGATCTGGTTTAGACTCGGTTTAGATTTGGTTTAGTCCTGGTTTAGACCTGATTTAAACCCATCTTAGTCCTGGTTTACTCCTTGTTTTAGTTCTGCTCTAGTCTTGGTTTAGTCTCAATTTAGTCCTGGTTTAGACCTTGTTTAGTCCTAATTTAGTCCTGATTAAGACCTGATTCAGTCTTGGTTTAGTCCTGGTTTAGTCTCGGTTTAGTCCTGTCTTAGGTTTAGTCTTAGTCCTGGTTTACTCCTTGTTTTAGTCCTGCTTTAGTCCTGGTTTAGATTTGGGTTAATCTTCGTTTAGATTTGGTTTAACCCTGGTTTAGTCCTGATTTAGTCCTAGTTTAGACCTGTGTTAGTCTTGGTTTAGTCTTGGTTTGGTCCTGGTTTAGTCCTGGTTTAGTCTCTGGTTTAGGCCTGACTTAGTCCTGGTTTACTCCTTTTTTAGTCCCGGTTTAGCCCTGGTTTAGACCTGTTTAGACCTGTCTTAGACCTGGTTTAGTCCTGGTTTAGTCCTTGTATTAGTCCTGGTTTAGACCTGGTTTAGTCCTGGTTTAGACCTTGGATAGTCCTGGTTTAGACCTGGTTTAGACCTGTTTAGACCCGTCTTAGACCTGGTTTAGTCCTTGTATAGTCCTGGTTTAGACCTGGTTTAGACCTGGTTTACCTGGTTTAGTCCTTGTATAGTCCTGGTTTAGACCTGGTTTAGACCCGTCTTAGACCTGGTTTAGTCCTGGTTTTACACTTCCATCCTCTCCCTCCCCCGTTTTCTTTAAATCCCACTTGATCCCGGTCTACGGCCAAGATCTTAAAGTGGATTTGGTCGGGTCTTTAATTTCCTCTGTGATCTGCAGGAACAAAG